CCTATGGGACCAAAATATTTGGCCAAACTCCAGTCTAGATGTTGCTGTGAAGGTTGATATTTAAATTAGTAGTCTTTGAGTAAAACCGATTATCCTCTATAATGTGGGCAGGCCTTATCCATTCAGCTGAAGAACTTAAAAGGGAAAAAGACAGATGTCCTAAGAAAAAAGAACTTCTGGTTCTAGACGTCCTTCAGATTCAAGTTTTAAGATCAGCTCTTCCGTGAGTCTCCAGCCTGCTGGCCCACGCTTGCACATTTTGGATTTGCCAGCCTCCTCAATCATGTAAGCCAATGCCTTAAAGTAAATCCCTCCCTCTCCAATACATATAAACTATGAGTTGGGTTTCTATTAAGAGCTCTAATGCACTAATAAACTTATAATTTTGATGCAATTAATGCTTATACTATTACTATATCATACATGTTAATATTGTGTCATCCCACATTGTTATCTTAATATACTGATATACTTTTAAATACACTAATATATAATTACATATATTCTTTAAATTATGTTAAGAGATGAACCACATCACTTTTGTACACTATTTCTCCCTTGGCAGTGATAATCATCTTGATTTTCCATTTGCTAAGTTTCCCAGGTATTTATTTTATCAAGCTATAACCAATTTCTCCCAGTTCAGTAAGTCTGCACTCAGCACAATGAAACGGTACTTTTTCCCCTAAGAGACCTCTGCTCGGGTCGGGACCTGGTCCTCAGCCTCCCTGGAGCTGCCACCCCTCGGGATGCTCGGCCTCTGCGGTCAGAACCTCGGCTTCACGGATCGCAAGCGGGCTTCGCTCACCCCTTCTTTTTCAACAGTGTCTGTAAAGGTTGGCAGGACGCCGAGCTGTGGGGCACTCAGGTCCGAAAACGTCTTCCTATCCGTGCGCTTGACGGGCTCTTCACTAGACACTCAGGTGGAAATGGCTGCGCTCAGGTTCGCGAACCCTCGTTTTGTCTCCCAAGTTGCTGTGAGGGAGGAGCCCTCCCGCGCCGCACGTGGCCACGCCCCTCCCGCGGCCACGCCCCTCCCACGCCAACGATGGCTGCGGGTTCGCCGAGTCGCACGTAGTAGTGTTCCTCCCTCCCACCTCTGGGTGGACTCTACCAAGGCTCCGCGTTGGAACAGACTTGTCCCTGGCTCCCCACAGCGCCTGCTGTCCCCTACGTCGCCATAGACCAAGAAACCCGAATCTGTCTGACCTGGGTCTGAAAGACCCCAGCCCAACAAGACCTCAGGCCTAGTTGCAAAACCACCGAGGCACGTCGCAAACCTAGGCAGGCACCAGAGGTGTTTTTCAGATCATTAGTTAGGTGTAACCGGTTGGGAAAGGACAAAGGACCAGGTCCCGAGGCATGCCTGAATGAGCAGGGACAGGAGGACCAGAGTGCAAATATGTAGCTTTTATGTGGTTCTTTTCCAGTAGCATACAGTGAAAAACAACTTTGCCCTTTAGGTAGCCTATATGCTGGGTTTAAAATTAATAAGAAACCTAGTGCTTAGCTTACCTCGTGTGAAAACTGCCCCTTCACCCTATAAAAATCTCTGTATCCCCAAGCCCGGTGTGCCAGTTCACCAAAGCTCCGGCTGAGGTTCTGCTGGGCACCCGCAGGCGCCTGTGTCTCAATAAACCCCTCTTGCTTTTGCAGCCAGTGTTTCGTGGGATTCTCCTTGGACAGGGAAACGGGGGTCTTTCAGGTCGTTCTTGGTAGTCACAGAGCGGAAGCGCCAAGACCGTGGAAATGCCCAGGTCATCCCGAGTCCCGGCTGTCGGCGCTAAGCGTGGCTCAGTCCCTTAGAGTCCGGGGACTCCTTTTGTCCCCTCTCCTGAAGTCTGGTTTGCTCCCCCAGCGCTGGCTCTCAGTGGACCTCCTACCCTTCCAGCCGTGTCTGCGCACACACGGTGCGAGGGCGAGTTTCCCCGCGCAGCCACCCTCCCGTGGGACCAAGGCTCGCCGGCTCCCAGGAGCGCCCTCACCTGAGCGCCTCCCTAACCTCGTGCTGAAGAACGTGTGGCTCCCACCGCGGAAGGGGCGCGCAGCCCGGCCTTCCAGGGAGGGGCAGAGGGCGCCGCGCTGCCAGCCCCGCCTGCCTCCCCGGAGGCCAGATGTGCGGGAGCACTGAGGTCTTCGCAGTTGGGCATCTAGTCCAGTTTGAGGAAATTGGTGCAGGTGGAGGCGATCTGTGGACAATAGTGAAATTAAGTTCAAAACAACAGGGGCTGTGGTTGGGCTTCACAGTCAGCTGACCCTGCCAAAAAAGGAAGGCCACGCGCCCAACGTGGGGCTCGAACCCACGACCCTGAGATTAAGAGTCTCATGCTCTACCGACTGAGCTAGCCGGGCGCCCGGGTGTCCTCTTCTGCTTCAGAGTTCTTTCCTCCTGAAGGCGTCATAGGAAGAAATCCTGAAACCGAGTCCCTCTGAGAGCCCTGAGGCCAGGAGGCGGCGAAGGAACGGAGCCCGCAGCTGTGGCGGATTGGCGGCCCTGCCTGCCTCCCAGACTCTGCTGTGGGAACTCAGGGGCTGGGAGGCGGGCGGGCGGGCGGAGCGGGTGCAGGGACGTCTGTCTTTCCTCTGCAATCGCATTGCCTGCGTTGTCGGGTCCTGCGGTCAAGTAAAGGGCCCCCCAGTGATTACAATCTTGAGTGGTTTTTTGATCAAAGTAGGGGAAAAAAAAAAGCCTCTCTGCCTCGCACCAACCGGGGACACGCCCACCTGCCGTGACTCGGATTCGAACCGAGGTTGCTGCGGCCACAACGCAGAGTACTAACCACTATACGATCACGGCGCGCCACTCTCGAGGCAGCGAAGTGGGGCCAGATTTAGCGCTCCTTGAAATATAAGCCCTGCCCCCGCGGTTCCACCCCATCGGCCGAGTCCTCGCGCACTGGCAGCTCCTCTTCAACGGTCTTGCTGCGGCATCCAGCAGGATTCTGAGGTCCTGGGCGGGGCCGCCGCCCCCAGGTGCTGACCTGAGGTGGAGGCGGCAGCCGCAGACCCCGACCGACTGAGGCTCGGGAGGGAGAAGCTCCCCTCCTCTACCTCTCCAAAGAGCCGGCCGCCCGGCCCGCAGTTCCCTACTCAGCCCCAGGCCTGTGCCCTGGGTGGGGGCATCGGAAGGAGAGCGGCTGGCGAGCCGCGGGGCAGGCGGGGACCTTCCTGGGCGCCGGTTCCCGCCCTCACCTTGGCAAGCAGCGCCCGAGCTCGCGGGCCTGAGCCCTTGTGTTCACGGACTTGTCCTGACCCTTAGTGAATCAGGCTCGCCTCCAAAGAGTCAGAAAAACAAACTCCTTCAGACACATCCCCACGGAGGGCCCTAGGAGAACTGTGGCTCGGCCAGCTTGCCCGGGACGGGGGACAAGGACAATCGAGGTTAACGGCTTTGCCCGCTAATTTGCTGTTCGCTCCGAAGCTGGGGGCGTGGGGGCGAGTGGGAAAAAAGCAAAGGCCTGCGTTGGCCGGGAATCGAACCCGGGTCAACTGCTTGGAAGGCAGCTATGCTCACCACTATACCACCAACGCGCTCTGGCGCCTCCGCTCCGTGGTCGCCCTATGAGAACTCCCTGGGCGGTCTTGCTCCGCAATTTCCTGTTCATTTTGAGATTGACATTAGGAGAAATTTCCACTAGGAAGCCAAAGAAAAGCGAAGAGAAACTTGACAGATTTAAGGAAAGTCAATCCCAGTTCCTTCCGTCTTCTTCGCGAAGGGAGCATCTGAAATCCAGCGGACCCGCCGCGGCTCTGCGGCCGCCTCACCCACGCGGAGGTTCCTCAGGCCGACGCTGGGACTGAAGGCTGCGGGGGAGACCTTCCCGGGTCTGGGCGCGCGGAGACTGGATGCACCACCGCCGTCCTCCAAGGCTTCGCCTCTCCTTCACCTTCAAAACGGGCGCCTACCTGGGTTTGCGTTATGACCACTAGGGTTGATGATTTTTCATAAGCGTACCAGTTATTCGTACCAGCTTTGAAATTTGTTACGTCTTTTGCCTCTTTTCTATCGGGTATTATGCTTTCTCTACTGACTACAGTTTATTATTTGTCTTTTAATATTATTTATGATATTTTTAGATAGGCAAATTTTTCTATTCTATAGGCCATTCTATCCGTTTTGTCCTTTATGATTTCTGCTTTGCTTTTATCTTGAAAAAGTCCTTCCTAGCCTAAAATTAAAATGTTATTCTCTAATGTTTTCTTGTAGTTTTTAAAATAGTTTTTTTTGCGTTAAATTCTTTAACCATGGAATAGGTAGTATGAGGTAGTAATTCCACTTTTAGAAATTTATCCTAAGGGATATATAGGGATATACACAAAGTTTATCTATGAAAATGTTCATCAAAATATTATTTGTAAAACCAAAATTTTAGGGGGAAACCCTGAAAGTTCAGAAATAAGATTGATTAAATTCATTTTGATTTTAAGACCAATAATTTTTTTTTAAAAATTACTTTTACATTGTACATTGCTGGTGGGAGTGTTAATCGGTATTACAACTATTAAAGAAAATTGTATCTATTCACAGATGCATATGCCTTTTGAACCAGCATTTCAATTTCTGGCCATTTATTCCACATATGTACAAAATTATATGCAAATTGTTATTGTAATAGCACAGAGTTAGAAATGACCTAAGTGTGCATCAGTGGGAAGTTAGTTAAATTAATTATGGAATATCCGTACAATGAAATGCTATATACCATAAGAAGGAATAAGGAAGTTCTCATGTCTGATCTAAATTCCACTTTTAGAAATTTATCCTAAGGAATACATAGGGATATACACAAAGTTTATCTATTTCTAAAATATATTATTAAATAGAAAAGACAAAGTGCAGAGAAGTGTGGATAGAATGCTCCCGTTTGTGCAAGAGGGAAAAGGATGTGTAAATATATACGTTGGTATGTATATATGCACGAACTTAACATTTGCACAAAGTCTGTGACATAATCAGGAAATTTAACAGTGGTTGCATTATCAAGAGGGAAAATAGATGGTAGATTGAAAGTCAGGTTTATTGTGTAAATTTGAATTCCAAACCTAGTAAACACTTCATCTTTTCAAAACTTAGATAAATATGTTTCTGAATATTTATTTCTACTGGCAAGTTAGAAATACATTGTTAACTGTAAAATAGCAGGTAATAAAAATAGTACCTATACAGCACAAATTCTTCGTTTTCTGTTTCCTAAACTGGGTATTAAACACAGTTTCAGGTTGGTAGAATTATAAGCTGTGGTTTCCTTTGCGTTTTTGTACATTTTCAAAATTTAAGCTTCTGGTAGATGGGAGAAGTGATTAGAAGAAATAATATTCAAATTTCTACAAGAAACCGAGGAAGGAAATAAAAAGCAGCTCCTTCCCTGACCGGGAATCGAACCCGGGCCGCGGCGGTGAGAGCGCCGAATCCTAACCACTAGACCACCAGGGAGGCTGGTAGCCAGTAGGGTTATATGAGTCTAAGGAAATTCATGCTCCTGCTTACGCCCTCGGGCCGCCTCCTATTTGGCCCCAACTGCGAGGCTTGGGCCTGGAGGCTGCTTCCCCGCCACTTCTTAAGTAGTAAAGCCCTTGAGAGAAACCTCTCTTGACTCTTGGAGCCAGGAGAGCACTGCGGACCCAGATCCAGCTTCCAAGACCACCGAGAGAAAAACTCTGGAGAGAAAGCTCCAGCTCCTCCGTGGAAAAGCAAGGTTCCCCCGTTGTGTGTGCTTAAAACTACCCGGGGCACAGAAGGGATGTCCTGGGGGCAGCCCGGGACCCCGGGCCTCCTGTAGTTCGTCGTTACTGCTGCTGTTGGTTTCCTGCGGTGTGAATTTAGACCCAGCTGTAAACTAGCGGCTCGGGAGGCCGAGGCAGGAGGATGGAGAGTTCAAAGGCAGCTTCAGCAACTGAAGCGAAACCCTAAGCAACTCAGTGAGACCCTGTGTCTAAAAAAGATATAAAAAGGCCTGGGGATGCGGCTCTTAAGGGCCCTGAGTCCAATCCTGGGTGTGAATGAATAAGTGAAAGTCCTTCAGCCTAAGCCTAAGGCTCTTGGTACCCAGAAAGTTCTAACTCCAGAAAACTAAGAGAAATGCATTGTATCTGAGCTCCAAGAGGAAGGGGAGTGGGGGGAAGAAAGAATATTCGGGAATGTGCCAAACTGAAGGAACTGCAGTCAACCCTCTGAGAGAAAAAGAAGCAAATGTGACAAAATGTTGGCAATGGATCAAAGGTGCGCCATAATCATATAATACTTCCAACTTCCCTGTAGATTTGGAAAAAAATTAAAAACAAGAACTTGATTATTATAAGTAGAGGTATGAAGACCCGAATTGGTGAGAATACACTATGTATACAACCAGAGATATGAAAAATTGTGCTCTGTATGTGTAATGTCAGATGACCACAAAGTGACTATCTCTGTGCTCCAGTTCAAACAGAAAAATTTTAAAGTGTCACTGACACCCAGAAAATAATTTGATAATGAATAAAAATAGTATTAAAAAATTGAATCATCAGTGATGTGTACAGATCTGCAGGGCCTGATACAAAACAATGACCACAGATATGCAGGATTATGGGGGGTCTTTTTGTTGTTTTACTTTTAACGTATCAGTGTTGAAATATTAAAAATATTTCATTCATGCAATCTCTACATTCCTATGGCCTTAGATTAAATGCCAGAAATCAGGGGGAAGAGTAACTGAACGGTGCACACTTTTTTCCACAAACACTCAAGACTCCTGCAATCCTGTCTTCAGGGAGCCCAAGAGCCCCACTTCCCGAGGAGTCACAGAGCTCCTGCTCCACCCCACCGTCCCGCCGGACAGCCACCCTGCCCCAGTCGCAGCGAGTGGCAGCGAGGCGGTGTCATGGGTGCGGTGGGGGTGGCGGCTATACCAACTTCAGAACAACGTTTTAGGGTTGGTACGTGTTATTCCCCTTTGTCACAGGCAGGACACAGCCTGTTTGGGTCCACAGTGCCTTTTCTCCGCCTACGGTAAGTTTGTAACACAGGAGAGCCGGCTCTCAGCCTTTCTCCGCACCAAAGGTCAGGAGGGCTGCGGATGCTCGGTGTGGAGGCCTTGCCTGGCAAGTGCGAGGCTGGGTTTAAGCCCTAGCACCCAGAATAAGGGGGGAAAAGAAGAAGAAAGAAAGGTTTACTTAGAGGCGGAGAGGGAGAGGGGCAAGTGTTAGGGAGGGATATTGGCCAAGTTATATTGTTACACTGTGTGCATGTACAACTTGTAACAAGTCCCATCATAATGTACAACTATAGTGCATAAAAAATATGGAAAAAAAAGATTGGGCTGGGGCTGGGGCTCAGTGGTAGAGCGCATGCCTAGCACGTGTGAGGCACTGGGTTTGATTCTCAGCACCACATTAAAAATAAATAAATAAAATAAAAATATTGTATCCATCTACAACTAAAAACAAAAAAAAATTAAAATTAAAAAGCTTAAAGAGAGACTCTCACTAAAGCATCAGACAGCATAAAGTTTCTTCTTCTTTTTGGCACCATACCAAAAACTGGATGGGAGAAATGAATGATTAATTTATTTCACTCTGCATCCTGTTTCTTTTTGTCCTGGTTTCAAACACTTAGATTCTGTGCTAGAATAGATATTACATAGCTTAAAGGCTAGTGAAAAAAATATGAACAAAAGAGAATAGCTCTGGAAAGATTGAGTAGATGTTTTTTTCCCTACTCCTCCTACTAATGCAAGTAAAAAACCTGAACATAACATATAAAAACATAAACTGCACATGAGGGGCCAGGCCTGTAATTCCATCTACTCTGGAGTCTGAGGCAGGAGGATCCTCAATTTGAGTCCAGCCTGGGCAATTTAGCAAAATCCTGACTCAAAATAAAACTTAAAAGTCTGGGGATATAATTAAGTAGTAATACTACCCTGAGTTCAATCCCCAGGACCACAAAATACAAAAAACAAAACAACACCCCCCCCAGGGCCTCAGAATCCAAGGAAAGACATTAGGCGTTTTTCCCTGGCTTTCTTTTTTCCTCATGTTCCAAATTTGGAACTGAAGAAGACAGCAACCTGTAAGTACCAAAAGGAACAGCCAAAAGGAAAAAAAAAAAAACTAACAAAAGCTCTCTAGCCAAATGAGGCAACATAGCAAAAGAAAACATTTGAACAATAACTGCTAGATTTCTACCTACCTACCTGGCACAAGCACACCATCCTTCTTCTGTCTGAGCAATATCAGAGAAACTAACCAAAACAAAAGTTTAAATGAGGTCCAGCATTGTAATAATACCCAAAATGCCCAGGTTTCATTCAAAAAGCATTCATCACAATAACAATGAAGAAAATCTCAAACTGATGACAGAACTATCTGAATTTTTTTTTTCTTTTTTGACACAGGGTCTAGTTCAAGGCCCAGGCTGGCCTCAAACTCCTAGGCTCATGATCCTCCTACCTCAGCCTCCCAAGGAGCTGGGACTGCAGGTATATGCCACCCACAATGGACTGACATACATGTTAAAGCAGTCATTATAAAAATGCTTCAGCAGGGGTTGGGACGTAACCTAGTGGTAGAGTGCTTACCTAGGATGACTGAGGCTCAGTGTTTGATCCCTAGCACAGGAAAACAAAAGTGAAAAACAAAGCTTCAACAAACAATTATGAGCATGCTTGAATGCTTGAAACAAATGAAAAAAAAAATAGAAGTTTCCAGCAAAGATATAAAAATATCAGTACAGGAAAAAAAAGCGGCCTGGGTTCGATCCTCAGCACCACATACAAACGAAGATGTTGTGTCCGCCGAGAACTAAGAAAAAATAAATAAATGTTAAAATTAAAAAAAAAAAAAAAGGCAGGGGCAGATGTGGTGGCCCACACCTGTAAGCCCAGCAACTACGGTGCCTGAGGCAGAAGGATCATAAATTCAAAGCCAGAGTCAACAATTTAGCAAGATCCTGTCTTAAAATTAACAATAAAAAAGCTGGGTTTTTGGCTCAGTGATTAAGTATCTCTGGGTTCAATCCCTGGTACCAAAAAAATTAAAAAAAGAAAGAGATGGAGACTCAAAATGTGCACTGATACCAGGTTCAACAAAGCTGGCCAAAGTAATAAGGAATGTCTCACAGTTTCTTTGTACAGTTGTCCAGAGACTGTAATGAGGATGAAGAGTCACCAAACTCTATACTTCAGTTGCCTATGTACCGATTACCACTTTGAAAAGAGAACTAACCACTAATTGTTAAAGTCATAACTCCTCCCCCACCAAAAAAAAAAAAATCCTCATTCAAGAGCTTAAATGGAGGGGACAGGGGAAGAATCAGTGAACTGGAAAACATAACAATAGATGTCAACCAATCTAAAAACAGAGCAAGGGATGGGGATGTGGCTCAAGCGGTAGCACACTCGCCTGGCATGCATGCGTGGGTTCGATCCTCAGCACCACATACAAACAAAGATGTTGTGTCTGCGATAACTAAAAAAAATAAATATTAAAATTCTCTTTAAAAAAAAATAAAAACAGAGCAAAAGGACTTTGGGACTTGTGAGGTTACAACAAAAGATTTAACATCTGTGTCATCAAATTTCCAGATGGAGAAACTAAAGAGAACAAAGCTGATAAAAATACTGAAAGAAATAATGTCTAAACACTCCCCAAATTTGGCAGAGCACAGAACCTACAGGTTCAAGAAACTGAGTGAAACCCAAACAGAATAACCCCAAACAAATGCATGCACCTCAGAGAAACTGTCAAAAGCTAAAAGTAATAAAACAAGCGTCGAAAGCACTGAGAGGAAAAATGATTTGAATGACAGCAGATTTCTTATTAAAAGCCATAGAGGCCAGAAGACACAAAATTTTTCAAGTACTACAAGAAAAGACTGTCAACCTAGATTCCTAGATATAGTGAAAATATTTTTTAAGAATGAAGAGAAAATAATTCACCAACAAAAAGACAAATAGCCTGATTTTTTAAAAATATTTTTTGTTGTAGATGGACATAATACCTTATAATTTATTTTTATGTGTGCTGGGGATCGAACCCAATGCCCTATATGTGCCAGGCAAGCACTCTACCCCGAGCCACAGCCACAGCCCCAGCTTGACTTTTAATACGAGCAAAGGGCTTTAGTAGACATTTTTCCAATGTCTATTTAGTATATTCAAATGGAATTTAATACTCCCATATCTTAGGCATGTAATAAATTTTGTGTGTTCTTTTTTCCCTGTTTCAAAAAAAAAAAAAGACATTCAGATGGTCAACAAGCAGAGGAGAAGAAGTTCAGGAATTAGAGAAATTAAAATAAGATCACAATAAGATACCACTTTATACCTTTCAAGATGGCTATAAATTAAAAAATAGAAAGTAGTGCTAATGAGGATAAGGAGAAATTATAACCTTGTGTACTACTTGTGGGAATATAAAAGGTGCAGCTGCCTGAAAGACTGTTTGGCAGTTCCTCAAAAAACTAAATATAGAATATGACTCAGTAATTCCACTCCGGGTATATACCCCAAAGAACTGAAAACAGGTACTCAAACAAACACTTGTATGTGCATGTTTCCAACAGTGCTACTACTAATAGTTGAAAGGTGGAAACAGTCCAGATGTTCTTAAAGAGATGAGTGAGCCAGGCACAGTGGTGAAGGCGGTGAATGCGTGTAATCCTGGTGACTCTAGAGGCCGAGGAAGGAGGATTCCAAGTTAAAGGCCTGGTCGGGCAATTTAGGGAGACCCTCAGCAATTTAGAGAGATGCTGTCTCAAAAAAAAAAAAAAGCTGTGGATGTAGCTCAGTGGTAAAGTGCCCCTAGGCTCAATCCCCAATACAAAAAAATAAATAAAAGAGAGAGAAAGAGTGATGAATGGATAAACAAACTGTTACATAAATACAATGGCATATTATACAGCCATAAGAAGGAATGAAGTAGTGATCCAGCTATAACTTGGATAAATCTCAGAAACATCATGCTGAATGAGAGAAGCCAGACACAAATGTCACTTCTTATATAATTCCATTTATATGAAATGTCCAGAATAGGTAAATCTATATATAGAGAAAGCAGATTGGTGGTTGCCAGAGGTTGTAGAGTGACAAAGTAATGAATACAGTGTTTTGTTTTGGGGTGATGAAAATATTATGGTGATAGTTACACAATATTTTCATTATACTAAATGTCATTGAATTATACATTTTAAAACAGTTGAAAATGTGAACTTTATGTTTTTAAAACACAATAAAAAACAATGAAGGGAGTTAGGGGTATAGTTTATTGGTAGAATATTTGCCTAGCATGCATGGAAGCCCTGGGTTTGAACCCTGGCATCAAAAAAAAAAAGTGTATTTTTTCCAGGAAGCACTATTATTATTACTTTTGTCTCACATTCAATTGTTGAGTTATTTTGTCTCCATAGAAAGATTGAGACATCCTGAAAGGCCTTAATTCTGTTACTCTGTTACATATTTTTAGCAAATTTTAAGTGATTGGCCAACATTTGCAGGATTGAATTGGGCCAACTAACAGAATGTTCCTGGAATGGCACCAAGATCCAAGTTAATTTTGGTTAATTAATATAGTCCAAGTCTGCTGGGAGCAGTGTGGTACCTACCTGTAATTCTAACAACTGGAGAGCCTGAGGCAGGAAGATCACAAGTTCTGGTTCAGCTTCAGCCATTTAGCAAGTCCCTGTCTCAAAATAAAAACAAAAGGGTTCAATCCCTGGGTTCAATCTCCAGTAATTC